CATGATCAAAATGTCAGCTCTGGCCAGCCTAGAGGCCTGGAGCTGCCATTCAGGGGAGAAGACTGGGCCAGCTGCCAAGACTCACCCTCCCACCTACATAAGCTGAAGAAACTCCTGCTAACAATCCATGATTAATTGCCGGGTGGTTTCGCTCTGGGTCACAAGGTGATGGGTGTGCACATGTGCAGGTGCAGCTTATCTTAATTACCAATGTAGCTATAAAAGGTGGTGGGAAGCACAGAGTGACAGCTCTGAGAATATATTCATTGCCTTAGTGCTTTGTTGGCAGTTTGTGCCGAAGGAAGAATACAAACTTCATTTACAAACCGTTTCTGTTTTTGGCTGGTTTCATTAACCCTTCGGAACCTGACACCACTTTGTAAAATAGCGCTGAGAGGCAGAGTGACAGGCCCAGGGTCCTTGGGAAATTTATGGGCCCAGAGAGAGTTGTCCCTGGACTCTCTGAACCCAACAACTCTTACCAATATTCCAAAATCGCAGAGGGGTGGAGAACTCAGAACCGAAAGTTGTCAGAAGGCTGCCAATTTTTCACCTTACTGTACCTCTTTATCTTGGCATTTAGGGACACGGCATACATGGCATGGGGGAAACAATCCATATTCCATTTCCGCTTGATGAAGCAGAACAGCAAGGAGGTATGGTGGATTTATTTATTTATTAATAGTTCATACGTCATTAAATCAAGACAGAATTTTGTTCTTGTCACTTCCCGCTTCATGTTTCTAGGAAGCAGCCTTAGACTTCAAGTCTAGAGACTCCTGCAAAGTCTTGTATCCTGAGAAGAAAGTCTGCTCACCATCAGTAATCGGGGTTTTTTAATTATTAAAAGTTTTGACTGCACATTTTCTTTCCCTATGAAAACACTGTAAACTGAAAAAAACAAAAACAGAAATCTCAAATGTGAAAATACACTGTGAGCACATCAAATCCCAAACTTGGACATTATATCAACATTCAGTAATTCTCCAAATCTTCTTTATATTTTTCCTGTTATCGGCGGTGGTTTAATTTAATACATTTATTTAATATACTCTTTGGGGGTGGGGTTATGTCTAGATTTTTCCCGTCTCAACATGGGTGTCCATAAAGCAATGAAGATGTTGAGGGAAAAGATGGACCTGCAGCACTTCTGCGGCTACATCACTATGTTGAACCCTTTCAGTCACCCCGTGAAGAGGAAGCTGAGCGATGCATCTGAGGAAAAAGGTTGGTCCTGGCAGTGGTGGGATTTAAAATGTTTTAAGCCATGTCACGCCCACTGGTTCTGTGGGCATGGCATGGCTTGGTGGGCATGGCAGGGAAAGGTTACTGCAAAATCCCCATTCCCTCCCCATCCCACTAACCTGCTTTCCAGCTCCATTCTCCCATTCAGGACAACAAAAGAAGATCAGCTGGGGGGGAGCGGGGCTGATGTAGCAACGATACA